TGTATCATAACAAGGTCAACCTTGATCTAACTCCTGTTCAAAGGCTTGGCAAGCAAGCAGTCAGCAACCAAGCATGAGGAATCCAACCTCAGACCTTTGATGCTCTACCACTGAGCCACAGAGACTCTACAGTGAGAAAGGTACTCAGTGTTTTTTCTTTGTCTCACACTTGTGAAAAGACAAAAGAAAACCTTCTCTATCTCTTTACCGAGCTCAAAACTTACCATCTCTCTTACTTTATTTACAAACGTGACAGTATCAACATTGCTGATCCTAACAGTATGCAGGACACATGTCATATAACCTTTGTAATAGACCTCGCTCACCATAGAGTCTCTGTGACTCAGTGGTAGAGCATCAGAGCGCAGAATCCAAAGGTCTGAGGTTCAAATCCTCATGGGGACTCAGGATTTTTTCTTTGTCCCATACTCGTGACAAGATGAAAAACATCTTTTTCAAAGCTACTTTTATTTACATTTCAATTTCCTATCCAAACTGTTACTATTTATTTTATTTTCCTTGAGAAGTTGTGGTTTCTTCTGGACAAACACTCCCTAGAATAAGAAAATAAGGCAAAAGAAGACAACAAAATTCACAACATCGAAAAAATACTACTCTGTACCAACAAGACATGTCTGGAACAGGGAACTTTTGTCACACTTGAGCATTCCTAGTGTAATTGGAAGGAGAAGTTGCCTCAGATCTCTCATAGGTAGAATTTATATCACGGTCGTTTCCCTCAAACTAAGATATCCTGCAGACATATCAAGACTAATTTTTTTTGTGAATTCGAAGACAACAAGCACAAATAAAATTTCAAATTAATGTTACATAAAAATTTCAAACAGACTGATAAAATCTTTCATGACAAACCACGGTCCAAAGTTTCTACGCGTCTCCTCAAGCTTGCCAGAATCCATCATCCCATAACTTTTCTTTGTGTTCTAAAAATCTTTAACCAAAATGTCCACATTTGCCGCCATCTTGTATTGTACTAGATACCAGTCTCCAACAGAATATCTGGTAAACTTCATATCTCGCTACATACCGTAATTACTCGATTGAACGCCGCCCCGACTAAACACCGCAATTTAGAGGAGAAATATAAATAAACACCGCCTTCGAATAAATGCCGCATCATGACGCGGCGTTTATTTGAATAATAGACTCAAAAGCACACGGTGATAAATACTTCGATCACACTTGAAAATTTTGTGTGAACCAGACGCAAATCCTTTTGAATGTACCAGTTCTGATGTCGAGGAAGCATAACCGACATTGACTCTTTATTCACATTATGTATTGCAGTAATATAATAATATGCAAATCGTGAAATTGAGAACGATTTAAAAATAACTTTTTGGACAAGCACGAAAACATGTTTGGATTTTAAATAAACGCCGCACTTGAATCAGGAAAAATTTTATAAACGCCGCGGCGTTTAATCAAATATATACGGTATGCAATAAAGCAGAGAGGGCTTTGCAGCAATGCGTAAATATGAACACCGCTGACGTAGTTCTCTCCATCCGTACTGAACGTCCGAAAACGTACAATGATCTGGATCTATATTTTGCTTAATGCTTTTTCTATTAACTTTGGGTAAAGGACTGTACGTCACACCATGGTCGCGCTTGCTCGAGCGTGGGCGGAAAAACTCGGTTCCCGGCCGGTGACCCCTATTTTTAATAACATCAAACATAAGAAAAAACTTTATAATACCCGGGATAAATTTTTCATTTATAGCCAAAACTATGTAGCCAGTATAATTGGTTGTGCAAGTGGCAGTGATCGGGATATTCATGGAATCATTTTGACACACAAACGCTGTTCTGAAGACCCTATTGGCTTATTGATTTAAAGATTTTTACATTAACTGTTGATTTAAAAAAATCGAATTCAAATGGAATTGGTGGGAATATTCTTTTAAAAAAAACAAAGTTAGCTCTTTCAGTTTGGATTTGAAACCTAAATATCTTGGAATAGTGCGTGACTATAGCCATTGATAAGATCGATTTTGCTTGCATTATCATATTGGCCAAGCGAAATTAGATTCCGTTTCAGCTGGCACCATCCATATAATTAGAATAAGGAGTTGGAGAACAGATCAGCACAACCCTAACAAGAATTTAATGGGATGCCCCCTTCCTCCTGTGGGAAAGAATTTGTCAATTTCTGTGTATCCTTTCCGTTCTGAGCGATAAGTAAGGATGGGAAACTGTAATAAGTAGGACCCATGATCTGAATATTTTTAGCTTGACGTTTGTTTCCTGAGTAATAACTGTTAGCAGCTTATAGATTGCACCTGGTTATGACAGGAGTCTAGTCAGCCCTCAGGTCCACACTAATTACTCTACGTAGGCTTAATTTCAAAACGTCGAGGAACATGAATGAATATATGGAAATGTTTTATTCATCATCAATGATACGATAATTTGCTTCAACCAGAAG